TGCTTGATATGAGAGGTTACAACTGCAAAGTCACAAAATACGGACCCTGCTCTCAGACTTTACTGTGTTCAATGTACATTCTGTAGTTGACCTCCTTTGTAATGCTCCATTTTGAATTTTTAAAGATTCCTGTTAATTATGTTGCTTTGAATGTACAGTGGTACCTCAGGTTACAGACGCTTCAGGTTACAGACACTTCAGGTTACACACTCCGCTAACCCAGAAATAGTACCTTGGGTTAAGAACTTTGCTTCAGGATGAGAACAGAAATTGTGCGGCAGCAGCTAAAGTGGTACCTCAGGTTAAGAACAGTGTCAGGTTAAGAACAGACCTCCAGAATGAATTAAGTTCTTAACCCGAGGTAGCACTGTATAAATATCTTCAGTAATGTTTTATTCTGGGTTTTTTTATAATTTGATATTTTAATGTGTCGTAAACCACTTTTTTTTTCTTAAAACTATAAAGCGGCTTAGAAATGAATAATAATAATAATAATAAGAGCTGCATTAAAGTTTAACAATAATTGTGCATCGATATAGCTAACAGTGACAGAATACCAGGGAAGGGACGGGAAAGCCGCTGCCCAATATGAATTCTCTAGTGCTCCTAAGGTTTGATTGGTTACTCAGTCTCAAATCACATACTGCTTTTCTGGTGTGAATCCACCAAGGGGAAGTAAAATTGGTTCTCCATCGGAAGCCATTTCGACACTCCAAGACATGATGGGTTCACTGCCCCCTCTGTGAGTTCTTTGGTGTCTCTTAAGCATACACTTATCATAAAAGCTTTTTCCACATTCCAGGCATTGGTATGTTTTTTCTCCCGAGTGGATTTTCTGATGTCTGATCAGGTTTCTTCTTTGAGTGTAGTTCTTTCCGCACTCCGTGCACTGATAGGGTTTCTCTTCTGTGTGGACTCTCAGGTGGGAAGTAAGGCTCGAGCTTTGGCTGAAGCTCTTTCCACACACTGAGCACTGATAAGGTTTCTCTCCCGTGTGGATTCTTTGGTGTGTAAGAAGGTGAGAGTGGTCATAAAAGCTCTTGCTACACTCCACACAGTTATAGGGCTTTTCTCCTCCGTGTGTCCTTTGATGAGAAGCAAGGTTTGCATGCCACTTGAAGTTCTTTCCACACTCCGGGCATTTATAGGGTTTTTCACCTGTGTGAGTCCTTTGGTGAATAAGAAGGCGCGATCTGTCGTAAAAGCTCTTGCTACATTCTGAGCAGTTATACGGTTTCTCTCCTGCATGGATTCTCTGATGGGAAGTAAGGTTGGAGCTCCGGTGGAAGCTCTTTCCACATACCAAGCATTTATACGGCTTCTCCCCCGTATGGATTCCTTCGTGGGAAGTAAGCTGCGAACGCCGAATAAAGCTTCGTCCACACACCAAACATTTATGTGGCTTATCCTTTGAATGAATCAACTGGTGTATATTGAAGCCTGATTTATCACAAAAGCTCCTACTGCATACGGCACACTTATAGGGTTTCTCTCCCGTGTGCTTTCTCAGGTGGGCAGTAAGGTTTGTGTTCCTGTTGAAGCTCTTTCCGCACACCGAACACTGATACGGTTTTTCTCCGGTGTGGATTCTCTGGTGTGAAGTAAGGTACGCAAGCTGTCTGAAGCTCTTTCCGCACTCCGGGCATTTATACGGTTTCTCCCCTGTGTGTTTTCTCAGGTGGGAAGCGAGGTTTGTGCTCCTACTGAACTTCTTTCCGCACTCCGAGCACTGGTAGGGTTTTTCGCCTGTGTGGATTCTCTGATGTACGGTGTAGTGCGCACGCTCCCTGAAGCTCTTCCCGCACTGCAAGCATTTATAAGGCCTCTCTCCCGTGTGGATTCTTTGGTGGGAGGTAAGATGCGCTCTCTGCCGGAAGCTCTTTCCGCAGTCCAAACACTTATGCTGCTTCTGGCCTGTGTGGATCCTCATGTGGACGTTGAAGTGTGATTTGCGGCTGAAGACTTTCCCACACAGCGAGCAGACATTCTTTTTCTTTCCTTTTCGTCTCTGCTGCTGAACTGGAATTTCATGAAAGTTCTGCCCAGGCAAAGGTTTATTCCCCCACTTCCTGGTTTGGTTTTCTTCCTGCTTATTTGGTCCTTCTTGATCTCTGAAGTTCTCATCCATGTCTTGAAGCTTGTTTCTCTCCGATGGTGCTGCACAGAGTTCGTCGTCATCCTTATTATCCCACCCTTCAACTGGAAGAGAGAAATCCATTAGCAGCACCAGAAAGAAAATAAGCTTTTGATTATGGATGGCATCCAGTGCATTGTTGTGGAGAAGTAATTCATGAGTGGCTCTGCTTCACACAGACATACACCCACCCACCCCACCCACCCACCCCACCCACACACCCTGCTGAATTAAAGCTAATCTAATACTCTAAACCAGAGATGGGGAACCTGTAGTCCTCCAATGTTGCTGATCTACAATTCCCATTACTCCTG